TTTATATATATATATATATATATATACAAAATTTCCCTACATCAAATTGATATTAAAGCCAGCCCACCTTCTTTAACAAAGAATTCATGTTCAACTCAAAGGATTTAAATCCTCTTTAAAGCAACAACAAAGTCATAAAGTCACTTGTTTACTATATTTTAGGTAAAATATCTCAATAAAAATTTGGACTCAAATTGTGCCATAGGCAAATTTTGTGTCATGCATAAGTCAAAGTTTTAAGACTTGGTTAGAAAATATTAGAAATTATCTTTCTTTATTAGATTTAGATGAGAATTTGACCCTTAACATGACACAAAGGAGAAAAATGATTCATGTAGCCGACCCCACAGTGGGATAAGGGCTTGTTGTTATTGTTGTTGCATAAGCCAAAGTTTTAAGGGTTTCCACTAAAACAAGATGAAATCTCATTTATCATGCTTTGACTTGTACTTATTTTCTTAAAATAATTAAAGCATTTCCAAGAGTTAAATGTCTTCCAACCGCATGATATAATTACGATTCACATGATATAACTAGGTTCTAATTGCCTTTGATGTAATCATGACACTCCCATTAATTCATTTGATAGTTGATAACAAGTTGAATTGTTTATGCAAGTACATTCTATTATTGTCAATAAAATAACTTGACCTAACACTTCATATAGGTTGCAAATTTGCAAGTCATATCATCTAGCATATCTAGATCCTATTTTCGTTACATCTAGTTAGAATCATGATATCATCATAACCAAGAGCACAACTAATGACACCATTAGTTATGATTTTATTGGAAATATTCAAATACATCAAGAATTATTAAATCCCTTGAAAGGCATAGCAAACATATAAATTGTCATTTCTCACATTTTGATAATATCTGCATGCACACATTAGTAACACACACAATATGAGAAGAAGCCAAAATAGTCCCCCGCATATTAGTAAGAGCCCATTTTAGTCTTTGAGTTTCGTATTACTCCAATTTAGCCCCTCAACTATTGAAAATTGACCCAATTTGGTCCCTCAATTAAACAATCTATCAAATTTGACCGAATATTCTACAAATCTCCCATTTTCATAATGTGAGAGTGGCGTTTTAGTACAAATATTAATTTTTTTTACAATCTCTTAGGTCATCCCATTCCAAAATCATCATTTACAAGTGTGAAATCAAGCGAAGAAGAATTGCGGAGTTTCAACAGAGAGCGGCAAGTCATTGAAGTGGCATGCTGCAAAAATCGACGAGTAGCATGTGGTGATCTTTGATGTAGTAAGGTGTGCAAGCAGGATTTTGGGTGTGCTTAACAAACAATATTCTTTTACTAATTTTTACCCTTAATATTTAAGTATGTTAGCTTTCATTTTGATTTTTTTATTTATTAGAATTTATTAAATGGCAAAATAGATCAATGCTAGCAATGTAATCTCATCCACACTTACACTACCTAAAATGCTCTCTCTCTCTCTCTCTCTAAAGGGTATTTCCTTTCTCTGGCCATGAGCTAAAGGGTATTTCAAGGTTCCAACAAAGATGCATTATATTATGTCCATGATCTCAAATTAGTAATTCAGTCACAACGTGCGTATTAACTAATATTAAGATGTTGGCTAACATCTAAATCTATATAGGCTTTAATAAAATTGTTGCTATGGAATTCAACATGCCATGTACATAACTTAGACAAAACAATAGGACGCCACAAAACACTTCTTAGCATGCAATAACTACAAATATAATTACATCTAATTGGTAATAATTTGAAATGTATGCCACTATATTTTCTTTTGTAAACAGAAGAAGGTACACACAATTGTTATGACATTATAATGATGCAAAAGCCACCATACATTATAATAGTTTGAAATCGGTAGAAAAATCTAAAGATAGCAGGGAAATTGGGAGATAAGCCAAGAGGCAAACAATTGTGCTGCAGTCATATTGCGCTGCTTCCAATACAACAATAGAGGTCTTCTTAAAATATTCCACTGACAGCAATTTTATATTGGTTTTTTTCGTAAGTTCACAAAAGCTTATTTATCTCAACAGTTTGCAAAAAGAACCCGTCTACTAAACAGGCATAGCACTATACAAGTATAGTTCAACAAAAGGCACGCTAATAAAAATTGGATGCATATGAAATAATCATAAAGTTGAAAATTTTACCTGGTTCATAATAACTAAGCTTCTTTCATCCTCATAGTATCCAGCATGCCTTGGATCCAACTTTACCAAATCATCATAAAGTTCTAAGACATCTCTCAAATGGATTAACCTTACTGTGGGAATTGTGTGTGACAGCATTGCATCTTGAGCAATTAACAGTCGTGCTAATGTAAGCTTGACAAATATACTATAATTAAGAGAAAAAAATGGTTACTAAGAGATAATACTGACAAAAGAGAAACAATCAATGTGAACTTTGGCAACAAATCAACCAGCAATGGATAATAGAGAATCCTAACCAATTTTCTTCAGATAACTCTTTAAAAAGATTTATCTCATTAGATATTGTATCCAACTGCCATTTAGAAAATGCAGACGCATGATCTTCAGATAACTTTAGTTGATCAAATGAAACCAAATCGTTACTTTCCAAAGTAGAACTCCCACCATCATCCCAGACAAACAACTCATCAAGTGATTCTCCTCTAGTATGCTCCAAACTGTCAGAGTTGAAGGTCAAAGTAAATCTGAAATGCGAAGGATGGTTGAATTCAGAACCGCTAGATGACAAGATATCCTTGGAATGACCAAGTTTGACCTCAACTCTATAAACTTTTGTATCACTAAGCTGCAAATCTGGAATTTGTAGGTAAGTAACCCAACAAGCAGCTTCTTTAGATTTGGTGGGTAGCAGTGGCCTCCAAACAAGATCTTCATTCTTGACAAACATAGAATTCACAGTCACGCTTGATGAATTTACACCTTTCACTCTTTGGTTAAAGTATAGAACAACGGGTAATTTCCCAGAGCTCATGAAATTGTAGCTGGATCGAAAGGGTTCTGACGATTTGCAATATGCTGCATTTCCATTAATTGTTAGGACACAGTCTGAATCATGAGAAGGCCAGGAAGATATCAGTAAAACTTCATTTGGAGTGATAGTCTGATCGAGAAGCCAAAGGTGATAGAACCATCCACTTTGATCACTTGGGTCAGTGAAAAGAGCTTGACTTACAAGCTCATATTCCTCAGTCAGTATCTTTTCCCTTTCAGCAAATCCCTCAGCCTTCATGCTCAGCAAGCGGGATAAAACTCCACTACATTAATAAGAAGTTAGTTATTGTTGTATATATGGAAAAACGTCAATGCATAAGTAGCTATTTTACACAGCGAAATCAACTATTATAATTAATTTAAAAGACCAATCACAATGTCATTTGAAGTATGAATAATGTTTTTTTCTTATGAATTTGTTAAAGTAATCCAATGTTTAATTAGAAACAAACAAGAATCAAAGATGTCATTAAAAAAAAAGAGAGAACAGGTAGCAACGGGACCAGTTAAAAGCACATCTGAAACATACATTAACGATTTGCATACAAAAGCAATAATCATTATACCTGTGCACTGTGCTCATCAGTTTAAAGCTCATATTACTTTCACGCTAATTCGTATGATGCACCATAACTTAAACATAAGCCAGACCACAATGCCAAAACATGAAGTAATTCATGTTCTTCAATAATTTTGTAACGCCAAAGTTCCCATGGTGGAAAATCTGTTCGTGCCAAATGCTATGCATCATACAAAGAAAAGCAATAAATATTGAAGAACGGTTAAAGACTCTCCATAGCTTGTTTGTGCTCGTACTGTTTCATCCAGACGATTGCTTTAAGCTTCAAAAAGAGTACAACTTTTTCTCATGTGGTTTAAACATGTACAACATAAGTAAAAGATCCATCAATAAGATGAGTGGCAAAAAATAATGCTAAAAAATTCAGAAGTAAGAAGAGTAGACCAAAGGTAACATTGATAAACGTTGAGAAAAGATATTTGCACAAAATAAATTTAACAATCAACAAATACTAAACTGAAACAAGAACGAGAGTTCAAAATGAGTGGCTTGACCCAAATAGTTTGTTTGGACAAAGCTTGTGCATGCAAGATATTAAAATGAGGGAGTAAGGATCGATCTCATGGCCTTCTCAACATTAACATATCACACACAATCAATCAAATAAAAAGAGAGTAGAGAGTCTAGAGACACAATTTTTTAACATGGAATAGCCTTGGAGGGGAGATATCATGAATCTAGTTCAATTGAACAACGTCTACTATTTGTAGAAAATGTATACAAGGTGGTCCACCTCCCTATCCATCCATAAATTTGCCTATGT